ATAGATAGATAGATAGATAGATAGATAGATAGATAGATAGATAGATATAGATGAGAGGTGGACGGATGGATGGACAGAGAGATAGAGATAGATAGATAAATAGAGATAGATAGATGAGAGAGAGAGATGAGAGAGAGATAGAAAATAGATAGAAATAGTTAGATGAAAGATGTAGATAGATGAGAGATATATAGATTGATGAGAGAGATAGAGATGAGAGATAGATGATAGATAAATAGAAGGCCTTGACCAGAGATCGATCTATATCTATCCCAGTCAAGTGACTTTCCAATCTGTGCACCCACAACTTTTGAAGGCAAGCCATTCCACTGATTAATTGTTCCCACTGCCAGGAAATTCCTCCTCAGTTCTAGGTTGGATCTCTCCTTGATAATTTTCCATCCGTTCCTTACTGTCCTGCCTTCAGGTGCTTTGGAGAATAGCTTGACCCCCTCTTCTCTGTGGCAGCCCCTCAAATGGTGTAAGACTGCTGTCATGTCTCCTCTAATCCTTCTCTTCGAGAGGCTAGGCATCGCTAGGCTCCCTCAACTGACCATGATATCATTCGGTCCCCAGTTCTCTTATCATCTTCATTGCTCTTCTCTGCAGAACGCGGGTTGGACTAGATGACCTACAAGGCTCCTTCCAACTCATCTGTTAAATCAGTTAAGATGCTTCGTGTGAAGAACCGGTCTCGAGAGCCCAACCTTCCCTGGACCAACTCATTGTGTTGAGTTCCCCGTAGAGTGTTGTGTGACGTAGACATTGTGATCGGCCAGTTGTTCAAGGCCAAGTGGGGCGGGGGGGGGGGGGGCGACTGCCAACCTGGCCCATTGTGGCTTGCTTGATAGACCACAGTGAAGTAAACAAGGGTCTAACAAGACTAGGTTGGGACTCTTGCTTCCCAACACACAATCTACACATCGAAGGACAAAGTTGTGGTTTATTGTTGACGATCAAAATGGCTTCCTTGCTTAATTCCTTCTTTTTCTAAAGATCGCCTTTGGACTTCCTAGTACAGGGGGTCTCCAACCGTGGCAACTTTAAGACTTTGTGCACTTCAACTCCCAGAGAGTTGAAGTCCACAAAGTCTTCAAGTTGCCTAGATTGGAGACCCCTGTCCTAACATCCCTTCCTGGGATGAAGCCTGAATGCTGTTTTTAAAAAAGTTGTGTTCAGCACGAATGCATCAAAAGTAAAATAGAAACAGGCCAATCCTCCTTCTGCCACAACCCCTTGCCCTGACCACAGTAACAAGGCCTCACGGGAGTTGTGTCAGCGTTCCAGAAAACCTCCACTCCAACAAATAACTCCGAGACAGACATCAGACAGACAAAGTTCTTTTTATTAGAGTAGTAAAGTGGCACATCTGGGAAATACTGAATCTGAAAGTTCCAGGTTTCCTTACAATAAATCAAAAATGACAAATCCATCCCCTGTGCCCATCATCGCATCACATGTCCCAATCACCATCCGTCCCAACTTGAGACGTCCTCTCACTTAGGCGCAAACCAACACGACCTTGAGTTAGAAAAAGAATGTTGTGATGTCTAACTACCTACACCCCAAGAAATTCCCCTCCTTCCATTTTTCCAGGCTCAAAATGTGGCAGGGTGGGAGCATCTGGTGCTAATAGGGCTACCAAAGCTGACAAGTTGAAGTCCACAACATCTGGAGGGGTCCCAAGGGAGAGCACCTTCTGTGTTCCCCATTCAGTGTTCTGACAACCTCCAGACTCCTAATTTGAGGTCCATGTTGAGGCATGAAGATTGTAAACGGAAGCACCGAACTGAACCTCAAGGAAGCAGCTCCTGTGACATGCAGTAGTTAGAAACCGGCCCCATTATGAGAGAATCAAGAATCTTGACAATTTTTTTTCTTTATTTAATCCATAGCTCCAAGAATCTTCTTACTTGGCCCTCCAGCCTCTGGAAAAACTACTATCGTGAGTATCTCCTCCTCCTCCTCGTCCTTTTCCTCCTCTATCCATATGTCTCCTTCTCCTCCTTCCCCTCCTCCTTTCTTTCCTCCTTCTCCTTCTCTACCATTCCTTCTTCACCACCACTTCCCCCATCCTTTTCTTCTATATAATTTCTTCTCCTTCATATAATTCCTTCTTCTTTGCCATATTATTCCTTTTCCTTCTTCTCCTCCTTCCATGGCCACAAATGGTTGTAAGTGCAAGACTATTACTGTTCTTCTTCTTCTTCTTCTTCCTTGATGCTGTCAGAGCTTGGTTGTTTATTTGCAGATATTTCACGACCCAACTAGGTAACAGCATCAGCATTAGAAGAGAGTGGAGTTTATGGAGAGGAGAAGGAGGAGGAGGAGGAGGGCAACGATTGTGGGGTTCTTGGTAGTCTCTGAGTTTGCTTGTTTTATTATTATTATTATTATTATTATTATTATTATTATTATTATTATTATTATTGGTTAATCTTTAGTGAGATTCACAGCCTTTGGGGCTGGTTGATAGCTCAACAGCTCGAGTCCTAACTAAGGACCTAAGAATTGTGGTTGTTGTTGTTGTTGTTATTTCTTCTTCTTCTTCTTCTTCTTCTTCTTCTTCTTCTTCTTCTTCTTCTTCTTCTTCTTCTTCTTCTTCTTCTTCTTCTTCTTCTTCTTCTTCCGAT